GGCTAGTTGGGTTTATTCATGTGGTGGTGGTGGCAGTGTTCTCAAGATGAGCAAGAGTGAAAGCTTCAAGGCCTGTTGATGTCTAGGTTTTGAACTTGCATGAACTCATATTTGAAACAATCTGTTGGCCAGAGTAGGACAGGAGCCAGCCCAGTTTCAAGAGATGTGAAAATAGACTCTACCCCTTAATGGGATTAGTGGCAAACGTGGTGGCCATTTTTGTAATCCACCATATACAGTGAAGGCCACGATCCTATGGTCCCTCCTTATGGAACTTCCATTCTAGTTGTCACAGTAGAGGTTTGGCCCTTGAGCAACTTCCGAAGGTTTATTGACGCTGCCTTCGGGGCTTGAGCAAGGGAATGAAGCTATCTTATTATTTCTAATTTAAAACAAGGTGAAGGCCTCTGCATGTAAATAGGTTCCTTGTTAACCTGCATCTGTAACATTTTCTGTCACACAAGGAGATAAGGAAAGACAAGGAAGAGCTCTCTCTCCCTCCTCCTCCTACCCATTGGGTCTCCGCGCTGACTGCACGTTAGCACAAATCTCCGCCCGACCCCAGATCAATTATATGCCAACCTCTGGGCAGTAGAACCTTGGCACTGGATTTTCAAAACTAAGTCTAGCAGGTGTTTCTATGGCACAGCCAAGGTCAAGGGCCACTGCTCTGTCCATTCTCTTTCTAAAGGAAGCGCCGCCCTTCCCTCCACCACGTGACACGCAGATGTACCAGCTTTGCCTCTTCCTCTGCTCCCAGAGTCACAACCATCCCCGCCCTTCCCACCCCGATGAAAAATGGTGTAGGGGGCGGGCCTTAGAGAAGACCCTGGAACACAGCTGCTCTTCTCTGGGGTGTTATCTCCCCATCGGGGAGTGCCACCTTGTTGGCAAAAGCAGACCTCCGAAGAGAGTCCCCTTGCCGTCTTCCTTGGCTCTGAAACAGGTTCTTCTTCCTGTCAAACGACGAGCTGCTGGAGATCCTGTCGGAGACGAAGGACCCGCTCCGCGTGCAGCCACACCTGAAGAAGTGCTTCGAAGGGATTGCCCGGCTGGAGTTTACAGACAACCTGGAGATCGTGGGCATGATCAGCTCGGAGAAAGAGACCGTTCCATTCAAACAGAAGATCTACCCGGCTCAAGCCAAAGTAACAGCTCTTACCCATTTCTCTCCGTAACAGAGCGCCGCAGAGAGAGGCAGAGAGCATGTCGGTTAAGCATTCAGACTCTGGTTCCTGATCGCCCGGGTGTGGCACACATGGGCTCCACAACTTAATGACCGGGTGACTTTGGGGAGTCACTCAGTCTTTCGGAGCCTCAGTTTGCCCATCTCTAAGGCCGAGATTATTCCGCAGTCTGCGTGACACACTAAATTGGTGGGGAGGGGGTTTCATCCTAACTTGATACAGAGGCAGTGGCAGGTTTTGTTCCCAAACAGCTGAGGCTGTGCAGGTTCCCGTGAGCAGAGTCCAGGTGAAAGCCATCGGGCAGACAGACGGCTGGCTGGGGCAGGGGCTTTCAAGTGTCAAAATACGGGAGTGATGCCGTTCAACTCAGATCTTCGTACATGTGTCCTCGTGATGCAGGACAGGGCAGTCGGGGGAAACTCAAACCCCGCTCCGAGAAAGAAGAAGGTTCTTGGCAAGAGCATCAGAAAGAATTCCAACACATGCCAAAGTTAGAGTCAGAAGAAGAGTTTTTCGAGAAGGGGTCACGCCCCACAGACAGTGTGGGCTGCTGTCAGAGATGGAGAGAGAGACTCAGAGGGACAGAGAAAATAGAGATGAGGGCAGTGAGAGAGACGGAGTACAGACACCGAGAGGGACCCAGAGGTACAGGGAATTCAGTTTATATTGTCATTTAGTTCCTGTGAGTTACAGTTTAAAGACTTTGTTTACCCATTTCCTTTGATATGGACCCACAGCGAGGAAGGGGAAAGGGAGGGTATGTCCCCTAAAAGGTAGGAATATATAGCGTGAAAGGCCTGCAGTTCCCAGCCTCTGATCCGTAGGTTCCCGTGGTTTTAGCCATAGGAAATGAACAATTTTATTGGTGTAGGTGCCACTTGAAGACTCTGATTTTCCTTTTTCCCTTCACGTGTAAGAAATGGGTCCTTAGCAATCCCAGCAGAGATCGTCCTTCGTTCTGCAGGCGTCCTGTGGCCTGGCTGCAGGGCCGATCCGCACATCGTAGTCTCTGAATGTAGCTGGGTTTAACATTTTAGTTTACTTGCTTCCTCCCTACATTACTTATATAATGAGTAAAATGTAAATTACTTTCACTTCTTGTGGACCTGACAGCACCTTCATGGAAATAGACAAGCTCTCTTGGCCTCGTCTGGCTGACTATTTTTGCCACCTACACATACAAGTTGGTGTCCGGTCACCCAGCCACCCATCAGCTAGCTCGTGGGCGCCTGGAGTGAACAGTTACCTGAAATTCTAAAGCTGGATAATTTGCTGCACATCTGGATTACCTGTGGAGCTTTAAAGAAATCCGGATGCCCAGGTGGCATTCCGTACCGATTAAGTCTGGGAGAGGGAGCTGGCCTCACGTTTGTCACAGGTCTCCAGATTATTCTCATGCAAAACAAAGTCTGGGACCCACTGGAATCGTGAAAGAATTAGACCTATTCATTAGAAGTGAGCAGTTTATTTTATTAACTGAAATATTAATGGGTCATTTACCTTCCGAGAACTCGTCTGTTTCGGAAGATGACATGAAAGAAAAGCATGTTAAAAATCTTCTATCGCCCCCTTTACCAGACATATATTTCCTTGAATACAGTAAATAAATGTGAAAGAAATCGTTAAAGAATATTGGCTCGAAGGGGTGTGTTGGGGAGGAGGAAACTTTCCTTGACCCTTGAGATTCTTTTGGCTGATCTAATAATCAAATAAACACGAGATGGATAAACAAGATAAAATAACCAAATTTAATTACATACATATGTAAGGGAACCCCACATGCGTGAGAGAGTCAGAGACCCACACACACGTGAGAGGTTCAGGGACAAAGCGAAATTGACATACATAAGCCAAGGGTGAGGCCAGGAGCCTGGGGGCTTCAGAAGATCATTGCAGGAAGAACACATGCTCAGTAATTATGAGTTTGCCCTGCCACACAGACAGATAAAAAGGCATTTCTGGTGATTTTTATCGTGGGCCAGGCTCCTAATTTAAATTCTTCTGGAGAGTTAAGGTGGGGGGGCAGAAATTTCTCTTGAGTCTTTAGGGTTTTGGTTGCCTTGAGCTCAAAATAATCCGCATCTGCTGAGGCAGTTTGGGGTGGCTTGTTCTGTACCCCGACAGGTGCAAACCTTTGGCCTCTCTCCAGCCCCATCCAGAGAGAAAGCTGGTTCTGCCAATGGTCTCTTCCTCCGGGCTCAGCTAACTTGCTGTCTCTCTGTCTGTGTTGCCCACAGGGCATGGTGGAGAAGTGGCTCCAGCAGGTGGAGCGGGTGATGCTTGCCAGTATGCGTGAGGTGATCAGCCTTGGGATTGAAGCCTATGTCCAGGTAAACAAGAACTGGGGTCCGGGTAAGCAGGAACCGGGGTGCACGTGCCAGGGTATTAGTCCAGCAACACAGACTTTGGAGGGGATAAGTGGATCAGTTCTGACCACCCCTCTGTCTTTCACCAAAACCCACCCTGATCCTGCTGGTGTCAGCTGATCCCTCTGTGCCTCTCTCATCTTCTGTAAATCCTAGGGCAATGTCCATATCTCTGGTGAAACGTTTGCAGTTAGGAGCAGATGACATAAGAAGGGACAGTTAGCCTGAAGCCTCTGGTTACTACTGGCTAGTCCTTTCTGTGAAGTGAATGGATGGCAGGAACCCATTTCCAATTAAGCATTCCCCCTGGCCAGGCTTTCCATGTACACAGTACTCCACCCTGAATGGCACAACTCATTAAACCCACAAAGCCTCAGGGGACACAGGTGGGACAGAGGCCTAAGAGAAAAGAACCTGTGGCAGTCACTCGTAGCCAGGTCCTCGCCAAAAAAGAATATTCATATTAACACTTTCCCACTCGAATATGGGGACGGACCCTGCTGTCCATCTCGGTAATGTCTGCATTGTAAATGAAAGGCCAGTCCTTTGTCTTACAATATGTTGTCAATCAAAAATGGAAGGAAAACGGCTACTCGGATGGAATTATTTCATGCAGGAGTCAGCAAACTGCTTCTGGAAAGGGCCGGGTAGTAAATATTCTCAGCCTTGCAGGCCACACACCTTGTTTGTCTTTGCCTTTGTGATGCACAAGGAACCATAGATGATATGTAAACATAGGTGTGGCTGTGTTGCAACACACTTTCATTTACAAAAACACAGGTAAGGCCAGATTTGGCCCTTGGGCCATAGTTTGCCTAATCCGTAGTTTAAAATAGTTACTCGTTGATGGGATTTGGGTGATTTTTTTTTTCTCTTTCATAAAATTCAGGGAGAAAGACATAAATCAGTTATCCCAAAGATCTCAAGCCTTCGTAGCCTCTGAGGGCGGGGCAGGATTTGGTCTGTGTTCAGGGGGCGAGGTGATGGGGGTTGTTTTTAAGTCAGTTCCGATCCTGCAAGATGGAGTGACCCCACATTGCACCCCACTGCACTCCCCCAGGTCCCTCGTGATCGCTGGGTCTTACAGTGGCCTGGCCAGGTGGTTATCTGCGTCTCCTCCATCTTTTGGACCCAGGAGGTGTCCCAGGCCCTGGTCGAGAAGACCTTACCGGTAAGCGAGCCTGTCTTGAAGCTTGCAGAGGACATCCAAGCTCAGTTAGTGTTTGAATGACATATGATTTGAGTAGCTGTGTTTTCTTACCAAAAAAAAAAAAAAAAATCATGGCTTCCAACCCATGGCCTCGCAGAAACCGGGGTTCTCACAGGGACAGCGGGACTAAGCACATGGGATTAGGGCTGTCCTAGTGTTCTCTAAACACGAGAACTCTCATCGTCCTTCCCAGACAGAAATTCCAGGGCTCAGGATTCTGAGTTTTGTCAGCCTTTGCGTCCAGGGCTCCATGTGGCGGAATGTCCACCGACTGCTTTTTTTTTTTCCTTTTTTAAATTCATTATTTTTTTAAAACTCTTTATTTTGAAATAAAGTCAGACTCACAAATAATGTTGTGAAAACAATACGAAAAAACTTCCCATACACCCTGCCTCCAGATTCCACCAATATTCACATTTTACATAACCACAGTTCGGTTATCCAAACAGGAAATTGACAGTATTGCAAGATACAGTATTATCGTCTAATCCATAGACCTTTGAATCGGCTAGTCTAAATTTCGCCGGTTATGCCGCTAGTGTTTTCTTCGTCTGGCCCACGGTCCAATCTAGAATTACATGTTGACAGATTTAGTTTTCATATCTCCTGTGTCTCCTTTACTCTGAAAAAAATTTCAGATATTTTTGGTTAATTCTGACTTACTGTATAATTTACATACAATCAAACTCACCCTTTTTAAGTGTCCAGTTCTGAGTTTTGACACATATATACCTTCGTGTAACCCCTGGAATTCCCTCATGTGATTTATACTCCATCCCTGTCCCCCCACACCCCCCACCCCACCCCCCAGCCCCCTCCAAGCCTTTTGCAGCTGCCAATCTATTTTCTGGCCCAGTAGGTTTTTCTTTCCCACAATATCATGAAAATAAAATCATACCCTGTCTAGCCTTTCCATGTGGCTTCTTGTAATTCGCATAATGCATTCGAAAGTCATCTAGAGGTTAATGACTGGGGCTCAGGGAAAGGGGGCTTGAGGGATGATGCTCCTGGCTCGGGCCATGGGGTGGTGGATGGTGCCATTCCCCCAGAAGGGATTACCAGAGGAGAATCCAATTTAACCAGTTGTCCCCTCCTATGCCCCTGCCAGGCTTTTCTGAAAAAGAGCAACGATCAGATTGCACAGATTGTCCAGCTGGTGCGAGGCAAGCTGAGCAGTGGGGCCCGCCTCACCCTCGGGGCCCTCACGGTCATCGATGTCCACGGTGAGCGCAGAGGCCCCCCTGGCCCTACTAACTTGTCCAGGAGCAGCAGCCAGGCTGGCCCCTCTCTTCTTTACCCTGGATGGAGGGGTTCAGGGGTCTCCTTCTCATGAGGGAGAGGCTTCTCCGACTGAGAGCGAGGACTAAGGAGAGAAGCCAGCGCCTCTAATACCCCCATCTTAGGTCCCCTTCCTTTCCCCCGCTCACATCCAAGATCCCCTCCCACAGGGCCCTGCCTGAGATGGTTGTGGCCACAGGCATTTCTGAGGTTCGCCACTTGGAGTGATTTTTTTGGTGCTGACCAGAGCTCATATTTTTGAGTACTAGGTGCCAAGCTTTGTGCAAAGTGCTTGACATACATTATCTCATTTTTATATGCATTTCACAGATTAAGAATCCGAGACTTAGACAAGTCTTACTTGCCAAGAGGCATACAGCTAGTGAGTAAGTAGCAGAGGCTCCTCTGTAATGTGAGCCTACATCAGTCTGATTCCAAACCCAAGAGACTGGAAATGGGCCTTGACGCAGGGAGGATGTGGGTGGCAGGTGATGCCCTCCAGCTCTTCCTGGAAAAACAAAGAGGAGGAGGAGAAGGAAGAGCTGGGGGCTTTGTGCAAAACACACCACCCTCCACACTTACTCCATCATCACCAAGGAAACTGGGGCTGGACCAGGCTGGTTGCCTGGGAACAGCGTCTGTCTCGCTCACACGCCCAGCTTTCTGCTGGCATTTCATGGCACCCCATCTTAGTCTCCTTAAGGCTGATGCTTGTTTCAATCCAATTTCGTTGGGGAGACCAGCACAGTCAGGGGGAGGGAAGGGAGATGCGGTCTACGTCTGGCCGCTTAGCCATCTGATAGGAGTGATATGTGCAGGTGTGGTTGATGCTCAGGACACCCCAAAGTGCTTGGGTTCGTAGACCGTGAGTGCGCACGCGTGCACACATACACACACACACACACGCACGCACACACATACACAGAGCATAGACATCCCAACTCAGTCCTCTGAGATTTACCTTCGTCCTGGGACTCTCACGAGACCCCTACTCCTGCTACCCCTTAGGGTTCCCTCAAGAACCTGGAGGGAATTAAACGCCTCAGGAAGGACGGAAGAGCTGTTGTTGTCATCTTCTTCAAGGACTCTTATCTACAGGGGTCACGGTTTTACTGGAATAAAAAAGACTTCTCTCACACAGCGTCCCTTGCAAAGTCCTGAGGGAGAGGCTTCTCCGTGTCCTGTCCCTGGACCCTAATATCTAGCCGCTGTACTAGTTCTGAGATCTCAGTAGCTCTTGCCCTGGTAATTCCCTAAAAATAATTAATGATTCTCATAAACCTATGTCCACTTTTTAACTTCAGAGTTCCCATCACTGTGAGAAAAATTAAATTAGGCTTGCAATCCTATAGGAGAAAAGAGAAAACCTCGAAATGTATCTCCCAGCTGGTTTCTCAGGTCCCCAAATGGAAAGACAGCATCTAACTAGGGATTCACAAGCCCCTTTCCTTGCTAACCACATTGGGCAGCTGACTATATTCTCCTCGGATATCCTAAAGGCCTGGGACAGAGCCAAAAGGATCATACTGGGAAAAAGGCTGCATTTGGGGTAACTATCCACTGCAAAGCCCTCTGGGTCAGCCCCCAAGAGTTTGGAAATGGTAACCATACCTAATACTTACATAATATTTTTATATGCCAGGTATAGTTCTGTCTGTCTGTCTATATCTATCTATCTATCTATCTATCTATCTATCTATCTATCTATCTATCTATCTATCTATCTATGTATAAACCTACACATTTTTACCTGTGATATGTGAATAGTTATAGATATTTATATATGTACATGTATGTGTGTATATACACATATATATTAACTTAATCCTCGTTATAACTCTAGAAGGTAGGCCCTATGTTATCCGCATTTTAAAGATTACACAACTGAATGACAGAGAGGTCTAGTCACTTGCCCAAAGTCACAGAGCCTGTTAATGGCAGAACCAGAATCTGGACGCAGGTGGTTGGATTGCAGAGCATGCACTGTGGTCCGAGCGTAGACAGTGCATCAGGTTCTCTGCCTGGCTCGCGGGAAGAGGCAAAGATTCACTTCCTGCAGGCGAGGGCGGGCAAGGAGGGCAGTTGTGCAGAAAACTGTTTGCAGCGTGAGGGGTGGCCTGGGCGATGTCCCCAAACCCCTCTGAGAAGTCGGTGGAGGTGTGCGGATGCTGACCGCGCTGCATCTGCATCTCCGGGTCTGTGTCCTGACAGCTCGCGACGTGGTGGCCAAGTTATCTGAGGACAGCGTCTGTGACCTGAGCGACTTCCAGTGGATCTCCCAGCTGCGCTACTACTGGGATGCAGGGGACGTGCGGGTGCAGATGGTCACCACACAAATCCTGTACGGCTACGAGTACCTGGGGAACTCGCCCCGGCTGGTGATCACGCCCCTCACCGACCGCTGCTACAGGTAACCTCGGGGGTCCCCCAGACCTGAAGGGTGAATGGAGAACTCCGGAAGGACAACTTTCTGGGGAAGACAGTTGGGGACATCTTGAGTCTATTCCTGTCGACCTTCTATATTTCAGATTCTCAGGTTTTTTCATTTTGCTTTTGTCACCATGATCCCACGGATGGGCATGGAAGTTAGGTCTTAGGCCAGAAGCGAGAACCAGTGGGAGTCCGAGTGCAAATTAATGTGATCCAACCAACCAGCGGAAAGTTGATGCCTATCCTTGAAAATGTCTCAGACTTAAGTAGAAAGGTCTCCACTGGCAGAATCAAGATAGCGCCTGGAGATACCAGGCCAAGAGGCAGCAAAGGGGACTAGGAGACAGACCCAGGCGAGGAGCCTCTGAGCTCTGCCGGCCAGTGCGATGGAGAGATGCTGCCAGTCTGAGCTCTGTACAGAGGGCACTTTGCCACTTCTTTTGGAATTCATGACATTTGAAATCCAGACTTTGTGAGCTTGTCGATTTCGTGATGTTTAGATTTTCTCCGATTTTGTACATTCCTTACAGTGAAACCTTTTTAAATTGTAAAGGTAATTTATAATTACCTTTGAGTATTTTCTCCTTTCAAAGTCCGCAATCACTTGTTCCTACACTCTTCATTCATTCATTGATTCTGCTCATTATTCAATGGTCATTACTTGAACCTTCCTGGGCACTGCGCATGACCTCCAGGAACCCTGATGGGGTAAGGGAGAGAGGCATACTCAGATGATTACAAGATCGTGTGTTAACTTAAGTTACAGGGCCGTGGGACCACCGTTAACTCATTATTCATTTCTAACATTTGTCTTGTCCCGACCATGTGCCAGGCACTATGTTGGTTTGCTGGGGACATGCAACTAAATCAGATGTGAACTCAAGATTTCAAAATCAAGTGAGAGGAATATGTTTTATTTCCCCCATTCCATTAGCATCGGTGGTCTTTAAAATGTGAAGTTTATGAGGATTTTTTATTTGATTCATTTCTGTATGTATGTATTCATTCAAATACTTACGGGTACCACCCATGCACTGGGCACTGAGCTGGGCTCTAAGGTAGCAATGCCGAGTAAAACAGAATTCTTTTACAATGGTGATCACATAATCAAAGAAAAAAAATTTAAACTCTTCTTATGAGCCCAAACAAAATAAACCAAATGCAGTTCCTTTGCTGTGGCTCAGGGCTCAGGCTCCGGGTTCTCATTTTCTTCTCCATAGGACACTGATGGGGGCTTTGAAGCTGAATCTTGGGGGCGCCCCAGAGGGTCCGGCTGGGACAGGCAAGACAGAAACCACCAAAGACCTGGCCAAAGCTTTGGCCAAGCAGGTAGAGAAACGTCGCCCGTCCCCATTCTCCTCCTGTCCGTCTCTGTCCAGGGAAGTTGGCATGAACTTCCAGACGGGTTGGCGGAACAGGCAGAGTGGAGCCTCAGCTCCTCCTGGGGGATGGGAAGCGAGGCGCCTCACTCTTGTTTTGTGGAAGGGGTGATTCAGAGGTGAGGGAACTCATCCTGAATGGCGCCCGCATTCTCCCCCTGCCCCCCGGCACCCCTAGTGTGTGGTCTTCAACTGCTCAGATGGCCTGGATTACAAAGCCATGGGGAAGTTCTTCAAGGGGCTGGCCCAGGCTGGAGCATGGGCCTGCTTCGACGAGTTCAACAGGATCGAGGTACCTCTGCTACTGGGGTACAGAGGGGTTGGACGTGCTGGGGCTGTTTTATGGGCTCTCAGCTCCTCAGCGACAGGGCCTTGTGCCCCCTCTGCAGCCTCTTGCACAGAGTAGGTGCTCGCTGAACTAAACAAAAACAGCCCTGAGCACATAAAATGCTGTTTCACACACACACGTGTACGCTCGTCATGTTCATTCTTTCACTAGCTCATTCGAAATGTATTGAGCAGTTAACTGTCTCACCGGACACTCCGCACGTGTTCATGGTACAGAGGTGAGTCACGAATGGTTCGCCCTCTGGACTCTGACAGTTCAGCAAAGGGAAATCAAAATTAACGAAACAAATGGAACGTGATGGACGTCTACAGTAGTGGCACAGCAGAGGCATCATAGAACAGGGGGTGATGAATTCTATCTTGGTAGGGAATGGAGATCGGGAAATGTAAACATGCAATCCGAACCATAAGCACTGTTCCAATGCAAGCTTTATGCGAGGTACTAGAATGAAGATAAAATACTGTGGAAAGTACTTATACCCACACACTCCAATTTTCTTTTTCTTTACCAAAACCCCAATCATGCTCCTCATTTTGAATGTGGAGGCCTGCTTCTCAGGCCATCGGGCTCTTTCTTTGCTAAGCGAAGGGGTCTCTGGCAGAGCGGGGTGGGCGGCTGTCAGTGGCTGGCGCTCACCTCAGCCGGCCATCCTCACCCCAGGTAGAAGTGCTGTCTGTGGTCGCTCAGCAGATTCTCAGCATCCAACAAGCCATCATCCGGAAGCTGAAGGTGTTCCTCTTGAGCTCCTGCGGAACCCGACCTGCGCTGTCTTCATCACCATGAATCCCGGCTATGCCGGCAGAGCTGAGCTGCCGGATAACCTGAAGGTAAATATCGGCGTACACGGACGCTGGGCGGGCTTACAGCATGGAAACCTCTGGAAGTGCCCGAAGGTCTCACGGGGAAGCCAGAAAATGGGACCAGGTGACATTTTTCAGGCTTGAGAAGTAATAGTGGCATGTTGATGGCAGCTAGATCATGCTTGGCCCCAGAACGCAAGGTCTTGTTGGGGGGTGGGGGGAGAATATATACATAACAACCAACGGCACGTAGGGACCAGTGCACGTGAGGCCCGGGGCTCGCTGCTTCTGCTGTCTAAGGGGCCGGACAGGTAACATAAGTGGGACAGGCTAGCCAGGCACAGCAGGGACCCTGGTGACGCCCCATCTGGAGGCAGCAGCCCCTACTCAGCCCCAGCCTGCTGCTGCCAAGCAGCGACTATCCCATCATCTCATTTTCAGGATATTTGAATTTTCACATGAAATCTGATTTTTAGATCCTATCTCAATGTAAAAAATAAATAAATAGTCACTGTAGGCCAAACAAAATAGATCTACCAGATAAGAGAACATCAAAGTTGGATGCAGGGAACTCTGGTAAACCCAGGCGGGAGCACACGGAGCTCCCTTTATTACTCAGCCACTTAGGCCCAAGCGGCGTCCATACCGAAGCCAGCTGTGCCAACCGGCCAGAGAGATGGCGAGAGAGCGTGTTCGTCCCTGGTGCCTACCACTGAGCCGGCCGGAGCCACAGCCTCGGCCCTGCCGCTAGTGGGAGAAGCAAAGTGCTTCTAAAGGAGAAAGAGCCGACCAGGGCACCTGCGAGGGAGGAGGCTCCAGGGGACCCCAGTGTGCTGCTCTCACGGCAGAGAAAAGCCCAAGGTCCAGGGTGGCCAGGGCTGCTCCCGTGGGAAGAGCACCTAGCACCCCAGCTGCATGAAGAGCCACCAGACGGAGACTTCCAGGCCTCTTCTCTCTGATTTTAGTCCAAGTTATTGCTCCATCTCCTTGAGTGGGAGGAGACGCAAGAGAGACTCAGCCAAAGCCACATTCGCTGGCCTTGGCTCGGTGAATCTTCACTTAATGTCGTGGATGGGTTCGGTGACTTTAAGTGAAATGATGCATACCAAAAGCGATTTTTCCATAAGCTAATTAACATAAACGAGAGTTACGTTCCCACAGCCTCTCATCAACATTACGATGAAATGACGCTGAGCGAAATGACGTTACTCGAGGCCCTGCCCTATGTGATGCTCCACGGGCCGGCAACGCGTTCCGATTGGCGCCCAGAATCTGGGCGACGCACACACCACTCTCCCTCCTCCTCGCGAGTGGAAGGCAGTCAGGGAGCCCCAGAGGGGTGGCTCCCACCTCTAGGTCGACATGGGATTTGGACCCACGTTTCTCAGTTTTACCACCCAGCCGTTGTAACGCCCCCAGCACCCCTCCCAGCCAACAGCCGTGTGGGATCTGCACAAGCAACCTCCGTGAGCCGTGCGTTGGAGTAGGAAGCACCAGAGGTCGGGGTCAGCAGGCCTGGGCTGCAGTCCTGGCTGCGTCTCAAACCGCGTGACTCGGACAAGTCACTTCTCTGCCGAGATCCAGGGGGTAATGACAACGGCGGATGTTACTGAGCAGTCACTACGTGCCATGCACTTCTCTAAGCACCTCGCTTATGTGGTGTCGCTCATTCTCATGACAGCTGTGAAAAGGGGACAGTCGTGAGCCCGTGCGGAGACGAAAGCACTGAGGTCCAGAGGGGCTATGTGACAGGTCCACAGCTAGCTGGTGATACAACAAGGACTCAGCTCCAGACCTCTGGCTTCGGGGTTCTTCTGGCGCCCCTGGACGGCGTCCGCTGTGCGAGCCGAACGCTGGAAAGCCTCGCGAGTTGAGTGATGCGCCTCTGGCACAAGAGACCGAGCTGCTGTAGAGCACCAGCACCTAGGGCCCTGCCACACCTCCACGGAGGGACCCAGCAAGATGACACGTGCCTGGACAGGGCCTGTGGCGGGGCCCGTGGGACAGTGGATGTGTCCAGTGAGGACGGTCCCTCCGCACTGACTCGTCTTCCCACGTCCAGGCCACGTCTCTTGGTCCTCACTGGAGAGGTGTCAGTGCTCACACCGTCGTCACTGCCTCACGGACATGCCCTCCCCTGTGTCCACCGTGTGGGCTCAGGTTCCGATGGCTGTCTCTTTCGCAGGCCTTGTTCCGGACGGTGGCCATGATGGTGCCGGATTATGCCCTCATCGGAGAAATCTCTCTCTATTCTATGGGGTTTCTGGACTCCAGGAGGTACGTCACATGTGTTTTCTGGTGGGTCCTACGGTCCCTGAAAGACAGGCCTTTCGTGTGGTGGACGTGAGGTGGACTGCATACCAGAAGAAAAGAGAGAAATTGAGAAACGGGCTTCCTTCTGCGCCCAGTTGCTCTGTCCGCAGCTGGCGCTGGCCTTGGTCCTGACGCTGCCCGGGCTGGGAGGTAACCCAGAGACCCAACAAAGCGCCTCCTCTTTGTTCATGTACACAGGACTTAGAGGAAGCAGCCGCACACCTCCTGCCTGTGCCCCATTCACGTACGTGTGTGCACGCACACGCGCACATCCCCACTCATACGTGTGTGCATGCACACGCACGTGCACATCCTAAATGGCTTAAGGCAAGACTGAGACGTGTGGAATTATTCCACGATTGAAGGGGAAAGTGTAACATAATTTAGAATTAACATTCTTACCAATATAACATTTATTTACGTCAATCAACTGGGTTCTCTCTCATTTCAATATGACCCAGTGTTCCAACACATATGTACACACAGACACAGACACACATACACACAGACACACAGAGACACACACAGACACACGCAGACACACACAGACCAGTGTCTTGATCACATGTACCTAGAGTCATTAACATCGTTGTGGAATGGCTTTATTGACCTGTTCCAGATTTTACGTTTGTCTTTTACATTGTCTCGGCCACAATCATTGATTATTTATTGCCACAGTCATCTCTGTGTCTGTCTCCGTGTCTTCGAGACCTGGGTGTCCTCATTCTCCATCCGAGGGGCTGCAGATATTCTCAGCAGAATGTGTCACCCTTCCCAGGCCAACAGGCTGCCTAAACATACGAGGCGTAGCTTATTCTTTCTGTAAGAGACCTGGATTCCGTTCATGCACCCATTCAGTTCATTTATTTATTCAATTGGCAAACCTTTATTGAGCTGCCTGCCTTACACCCAAGCCTCTGCTAGGCACCGGTGAGCAGCACAAAGCCTTTGCTTTAAAAGCCGATCTGTCTCATTGAGGGGATTCCCCACAAGGGGGACGTGCAGACGTGTATTAGTTGGGGTCACCCCGACCCCGAATCCCACTGGCTTCGCACAGCAAAACGTGCTTTTCACTCCTTGGAAATCTAAAACGGGTGTTTGTGGTCAGGAGTAGTTCTTCCCCAGGGGCAGCGACCTGAGTCACGTATGTGTCACAGCCATAGCACACGAGCACGGAGGGTCTCATAGAAGACGTTTCTGTGGGCCAACCCCGGGAGCGGCATGCTCCCCTTTCATTCACGTCCTGCTGGCTCAGGCTCAGTGGCGTGGCAGCCCCTCACTGCACGGGAGGCTAAGCTGCGTGGTCCAGCCGGGTGCCAGGAGGAATAAGAACTGCCCATGCACATGCATATGCGTGTGTTGTGTGCTGAGTATATTAAAGTTTGAACCGGTTTTTACATTCGACAAGTAAAACGTGGACATCGAAAAAAATCATAGTGTCGCCGCAGTGAAAACTGTGGGTTTGGCCTCAGTAACCCTCGGCTCCACTCTCTGCGGCTTCACGTTGTTGGTAGTTTGATGTCTTCTTCTCAAGAGTGTGCATGTGAATGTGCATGTGCGTGTGCGTGTGTACACACATATCCATGTGTGCACATTAAAGTATATACACATAGAACCTCTCAAGCAGTACCTGGTACACGCGCGTGTGTGTGTGCTTCCTGTTTTCCATCCTAACTTTGAAAGAGAGTCGCGATGCTTCCTCAGTTCGTTGTGGCAACTCTGTCCAAAGGCCTCCCAATGATAGGGCTTCTCCATCAAGTCCATGGGCAAGCCTGGCTTCTGAAGGGGCGGGGCCCAAGGATGCGGGGCGGCCGGACGTGGTCCCATGCGGGGGTCTGCAGCCCTGTCTTTGCCCGCCCAGCCTGGCCCAGAAGATCGTGGCGACGTACCGCCTGTGCTCGGAGCAGCTGTCCTCCCAGCACCACTACGACTACGGCATGCGTGCGGTCAAGTCCGTGCTCACCGCTGCCGGCAACCTGAAGCTCAAGTACCCAGAGGAGAACGAGAGCGTCCTCCTGCTCCGGGCCCTGCTCGATGTCAACCTGGCCAAGTTCCTGGCTCAGGATGTCCCCCTGTTCCAGGTACACGCCCCACGTCCTCCCCCACCTCCTGACATCCCTCTCCATCTCCAGCCAGCATCCCCCAAACGCTATGTAACAATGGCGATGGGAGCATTTCTGTCTGGTTCCCCATCTTAATGAAGGTGGTTTCACGGACAGCGTATTCGCCGTTGGGTGTGGGTGATTGTTTTCAACAGATTGAATTCATTTCCTTTGATAATTGTTTTAACGCCTACCATCTTTACTAGGTCTTTCGCTCCATAGAGACGGAAATTATGACTGTCTTGTTCATCCCTCGTACAATGACTGGGAGATAGCACAGGCTTATTAAATTTCTGCTGACTTTTATAATTATTTGGAAGTCGTGTTTGACAGAAAGTGTTAGAATTTGTCATCGCGGATGTGTTTCAGAGCAGGAGAAATGAAGCTTGGCATCTTTCAAAGACTTTTGCTGTCTGTAGACCTCATTTTAGGGTAATGCGGAGCTCGAGCAGCTGATAATTCACCCTTTCTACCTCCTCTTGGATTCTCGTGACCAGGGAATCATATCGGACTTGTTTCCTGGAGTTGTCCTTCCGAAACCAGACTACGAGGTCTTCATGGAAGTGCTGGATAAGAACATCGAGAAGATGAAACTCCAGCCAGTTCCTTGGTTTATTGGGAAAATTATCCAGGTTGGTTCCTTGTATCCACTGGGAATGTGCCTGTTTTGCTCTTTGCTGAAGTCAGGAATTAGAAAGAATTATGGCACGTCAGGATGGAGCTGACAGCAAGCAGGGGTGCCTGGGAGGGATGGAGGTAGCGATGAAGCCATCTTCCCCTGTTATGCCTGTGGTTTTCATTTCTGAGTTAAGGTTTTTCCTATGACCATCTTCCTTGGGGTCTCTCTTTTTAATGTGGGGTCTTCCCTTTGGGGGCATTGGGCTTTGAATGAGTCAGGACTTTCTCAAGAAAGTTCCCAATGATAGAAACCCAACTCAAAGTGCCTTAGTCAACAAAAGTGAATTTAGACATTTACCAAACTTGGAAAATATAGGAATATGGTGGCCTCAGGCACAGCAGCATCCAGGTTTTCCTGTACTGTCATCGGGAATCTGTCTGTCTTCATTTCTGGGCTGTCTCTCTTTTCATTAAAACTTCATTCTCAGTTGGGCCTCAGACTGAGATTGTTCCAGGTCCAAGCCCAGACAAAGATAGAGCATCACTGGCCAAGTGGCTTCAGCCAGAGTCTCAGGATCAGCTTTGAATGCTGCTGCTGACGTCACACGGCCATCCCTGAGCCAATTCCAGAGAAGGTCATTTACAGCATAAGGCCCGGCTCAGAAAATACATGTCATCTCCCGACAGTTCCAATCCAGTCAGAACGGCAATTAGGCCTCGAGAAAAGAAGTTTCCAATAGAAATGCAATTTGCGAAAATGACCTCTGCTTCCTGTTCCTCTTTAAGAGCAATGGAAATGGTGTAAGGGAAAGGTCAGGGGCACTGAAGCCAGAGAGCCCTATGGCTCTGACGGGCACCGACGGGCCCGGGCAAGAGACGTACCTCTCTCGGGCTCAGTATCTCACCATTAGAAGGTGTTTCATGATGCCCGAACGGATTCAGTGAAGTCATTTAGGCACATTACTTGATGCTTAGCACACAGATAAGTGCAGAGTCCATAGCAGTTCCTAGCTCTGAAATCATCTGAGACACACACATATATATTTATTCATCCAAACGACATTTAAGCAACATATCACAAAGGAGACTGTGGTTCACCAGAGGTGGACGCGACTGTGGGAACCCCCTTTTGCCCCCTCATTCCTCACTGACTCGCAGTTCCGGGAGGTTTGCCACGACTGGCTTCTTAGACGATGTCTCCTCCCAGATCTACGAGATGATGCTGGTGAGACATGGCTACATGATCGTCGGAGACCCTATGGGTGGCAAGACCTGTGCTTATAAAGTTTTGGCTGCGGCTCTGGGTGACTTAAACGAAGGTAAGGCTCACATCCCCCGCTTCCAGGGAGGGCAGGCCTCCTCGCTCAGCTGGCCGGCTCCACGGAGATAATGCCAGATTGGTGGGTGTTTTTGTTTTTTTTCTCCTGCCATCCCTGGATTGTGACGTCAGAGCCAGAAATAGAACCCGGCGCACAGATGTCTGCAGGCAGAAAATAAAGCGGGGGTGGGGGGAGCGTCTAAGAGGGGGTGTCGTGTGCAGTCCTTAAGGCTGGAGGAAATTTCTCAATTTGGCTTCTCCAGAGGTTTCCCAGCGAGAGAAGTTTCTGCCATGGCCCTAAACGAAATTGTCCTAAAGGCAAATCATTGCATAGTTCTTTTCCTTCTCATGCTATGCCTTCTTCGCTTCTCTTTCCTTCCCTTTCCCTCCCTCCCTCCTTCCTTTCCTTCCTTCTAATGTAGAGGGAAGGTCTGCAGGCTTTTGAATCGGACCCAGCACTAAACCTCACTTAGCCTGTCTTCTCGGCTGTAAAATGGGTTTCCTGGGAGAATTTAATGAGCTCATGCAGGTAAACAACCTAGCACAGTCCCTGCTCAACAAATGGAAGCTCTGTTTATTGCCAGAGAAATCCTTTGGGTTTTTGTTTGTTTGTTTATCAAACACATACCCGTGGTTTTGAAAAACACTGCCTTGTCATTTTTGTTTACATGATCCCTTCCAGTGCTGTGACATTTTTTTTCCCCTAAAAATATCTGATAATTGAGTTGCTGTTGGATTTTTGCGGTTTTTGTTTTGGGGACTAAGTTGGCTTTCATAACTAATTTGGGCATTTCAAACTTTAATCATTTTGACATTTGAATATAGTTTAGGAAACTAAATGCAGAGAAAGCTAACCCTATGGTCTTTGCTTTGGGGTTCTGCAGAAATGGTTCTTTATTTAGCTTATGGCCTAGACAGCCCAGTTTTTCCTTACTTTCAGGGATCATGTAAAAGTGTGGCTATTTTCTGTGAGTGAATACGATGATGTGCCATCGTCAGCCTGTATATTCTAGTCGGGCCCTGGTACTCCAGCAGCGTGCATTTCTCAAGGGACACTTACTGAGCAGCTAAAGAAGAGATTTCGGGGCTCAACTAGCCCTTCAGATAGAGAAAAGAAAAGTAACCATTATTTTCCAGAATCTTTTATTCGTCAGTTGTTTCTTCATCTCAGGTCAAGGCAAGGTTCTTGGGGTACCTGTGAGAACCAGGTGCGTAAAGAGGCACCTGTCTCCCTCGCTGCTGGAGTTCCTTTAGGCTCCGGCCGATTTCTTTAGATTTGACCAGCCATTTGCCCTGTTCAAAATGAGCCCCAGAAGAAAACGCGGTGAGAAACTAATGGTAATAATAACCCGACAATCTAAGGCAGTGCCTCTCCAGGTATCCCAACCTCTGAAAGGCCTCTCCTTGGATGGCACACCCCTAACGGGCAGTTGCTCTGAGATGGCATTCTCTCCTGTCTGGTGTTCTGGTCTCACCAGAGCCTGTGTGACTCGGGTTGGACCTTCTTGCCCAGCCAACCAGATGGAGGAGTTTGCCGTGGACTACAAGATCATCAACCCCAAGGCTATCACCATGGGGCAGCTGTATGGGTGCTTTGACCAAGTGAGCCACGAATGGACAGACGGTGTCCTCGCCAATGCTTTTCGGGAGCAAGCGTCCTCAATGTCTGATGACCGCAAGTGGATCGTATTTGATGGGCCGGTGGATGCTGTTTGGATCGAAAACATGAACACGGTTCTGGACGACAATAAAAAGGTAGCTACTGAGCGTGGTGTCACCTCTACATGGGTGGGGTACAGCCGTGTATTAAGGTAGGTGAGTGATCACCGCTGTATAATACGTACACGCACTAGGCTAAGAAGAAACGCCCCACCGGGAAGTAACGCTTGTCAATTTGTGGATGGTGCTTCCGTTTGTAGCGGTAGAGGGTCGGCTATGTGTGTTCTAAGGCAGTGCTGTCCCGTGGTTAAGAGCCTTGCTGCAGCATCAGACTGGACCGCTGGCTTCACAACTGAGCTGTGTTGTATTGGGCAAGGTCCACAACTTCTCTGAACCTCGATGTCCTGATTCGTTAAAAGATAGTAATAAAATAGGGCCGTTGGTAATTAAATTAGAAAGTACCTGCAGAGTACCTGACGTACGGGATGTGTTTAGATTACTGGTTGCTGTATAACAAAATACCTTGACACTCGGTGGCTTAAAACAGCCATTTACTTTGCACATGATTTTGTGGATTAGAAATTTCGGAAGATCTCAGCTGGGCTCGGCTAATCCTCGTGATGTCAGCAGGGGCAGCTGGGGATGGAGGAGCTGCATTCAGGTGGCTTCTTCACTCCGTGTCAGGGAGCTCGTTCCTCTTAGCCTGTCTGTCTGTCTGTCTGTCTCTCTCTCTCTCTCTCTCTCCCCCGCTCCCCCTCCTCTCCCACTCTTCCTCCAAAGGGCGTTTCATCCTTCAGGCCTCCCCACACAGCTTGGGCTTCTCACTTGGTAGTCTGAGGGTGGTGGCTGGTTTTCCAGAGGCAGGAAGTGGAAGTCTCCGTGAAATTACGAGCCTCACTGGGAACCGCGCGGCTTCACTTGCTCCGAATTCTCTTGGTCAGAGACGTTGCCCGGCTGACCAGAGTCCAGCGGGTAGAGCAGCAGACTCCACCTGTCGATGGAGGTGGGCGAGGTCACGCTACAAAAACGCACACGGGGTGGGGGATGTTGCTGCAGCCTCCATTGGAAAGTATATTCTGTCACATGGACCTAAGGCGCTTGGACTGTGGAGCCAGACAGCCTGGGGTCGATCCTGCCCTGCCACTCAGTCGCGTCACCTCGGACAAGCTGTTTAGTCTCTCTGTACCTCGGTTTCATCACCTGTGAAGTGGGGAGGATGCTGTTTCCCTCACGGTGTTGGTAGGAACACTAGATAACTAATATCTGCAAACTGCTTAAATAGCGCCAGGCATAAAGCAAGTGCTCTATAACTGTTAAGATAAAATAAAAGTTATCACCATTTTGAGGAAGATCTCCTACACTGAATAGCAAATCGAAATATATTTCCCTACTGTACTTAAATTTCCCCAGACGAAGAGTGAGTCGTGCTCACCGTGGAAGACCTAGTCATCCATATTTTACACTCGCACTAATTATGACGTGTGCATAACTTTAATCATATAACAAATACAAATAGAAATGTTTTATTACATGATATGGCCTCTGTTACATAAACCAATTATACAAATGTTTCGGTTGGTCTTGAGATTAGAAGTATTAAGAGCTGTCGGTGAATCTCCCGACAGCTCTTCTCGGTTCTGGGTATAAATCTACTCTCACAAGTAGGGGTTTACTTTACTTTTCTTAATATTTGGAGGTGACACTCCTGGTGGTAACAGCTGGGACCTCCCTGGGGATGTATGTAGTGACCTGTTTCTAGATGTGTTTGATGTGGGCCAGGAAAATGTGCAGGGGACCTTTCCGCTATGATTTAGGATGAGCAGTGGGGACTGATGGGGGGTTCCCCTTCTCCCATGGGAGGCAGAGGCCACAGCGGCCTTATGGCTTAACTGTCTCACTTGAACCCGTGCTGGCAAATGGCAGTCGGCACCACCGACATAGTCCGTACCCCGGAGACCATCCTGTGTGTTTGCTCTGCTTTCTACCAGACTGTGTCTCTAACCACGAGGAATTCTGGTGGTCTGTCCTTCCATTCGAGGCAGGATTTATGGGGTACTCTTTACCTTCTAGCCACGGACTAGTCCTTGGGGGATTCCAATAGGAGCCCTTCGCGGGACACTTGAGCAAATAGAGCAGGATGAAGGTGTGCAGTTAGGTTCTGTGCCACGTACTGAGGAAGGAACCGTGACACCCGGTGTGGTCTGATACCTTCCCGATCCTTCATCTAAGGCTGCAATTCAGCGACTCTCCGACCTCTCTACTTAAAACTGCAACTCGCCCAACTCCGACTGAGCATTCTCCAACGCCCTCTTCCGCTGTGTCCTCCAAAGCGCTTCTACTGTTTTCTGTACTCTGTGTTTGGCTTTTTATCTGTCTCCTCCCAGCAGAATATGAAGCCCAAGAGGACAGGGATTTTTGTCTGTTTTATTCTCTGCACCTAGAACAGTGCCTGGCACACAGTAGGTCCTCAAGAAATCCTTGCTAAATGAATTCAAACCATCTCGGCCTCTACCTGCAAATAGAGTGTAACCCTTCGCCTGCTCTCCACCTCTCTGCTCCTGTTTCAGCTGTGTTTAATGAGTGGGGAGATTATCCAGATGAGCCCCAAGATGAGCCTGATCTTTGAGCCAGCAGACTTGGAGCAGGCGTCCCCAGCCACCGTGAGCAGGTCAGTCACCTCGCGCTGGTGGCTTAAGGGGCAGCTTGGTCTCACTCACCCTGAGCAGGAGGCCAAGCTCTGAAAATCCACAGGTGTGATTAAATCCTAGAAGGTCACCTGCGTTGTTTGTCGTCCCTTAGATTTGCCTTCAGATCAGTCCTCCATCCACATAGCTGCTAAGGGTCTCGAAAACTGGCCAGCACCTGGGAAAACAGTTTGACATTGTCTTCTCAGACTGAACCTCCGTATGCCTCCTGACCCAGCAACTCCGCTCCTATGCGTGCACCCCAAAGAAACTTACCCCATACAGCAGGGGACACGTACGAGAATGGTCACAGTGGCACGCTTCACAGTAACACACACTGGGAAACCCAAGTGCCCATTCACAGGAGTGAATTAATAAGTCACAAGTTATACATACATACATACGTGTATCACTCAAAATAAATCAATCATACTGATATGCAACTCTGGATCAATCAGTTAAATTAAAGATAAAATCTTAATAATATTATGTATAAAAGTAAGTCCACGGTATTACATACAGCATAGTGCTCCCTTTTAAATTGTTAAAAACAGCTACAATAAATATACATATTAGAATCGTACAGAAATGCTGTAAAACTACACAAGAAGGAAAGACGTCAAGCCCAAGTGAACACGACATTCATACGCTATGTTACCTGAGGTGGGGACAGGCAGGGGGACAGGATAGGGGCGACCGTAGGGTTAGATGAAGGTGATTGTCAAGATCCTAGCTTCTGTCTGGGCAGTGGGTTCACGGGCACTTATTATGTTTCCGAAAACTATTAATCAAGAAAGGCCATGCATGGGCTAACTTTGCATGTGAGGAGGATGATCATTAATCCAGCCCCGTGCACCCGAAGTCCATAAAAAAATAAACTCAGCCCACATTCCCACAGGCCGTGTGAGGGAGTAGAAAGGGCGCATGGCGCGTGAGACCAGCCTGGGTTCCCACCTTGGCCGTGCCGCTTGCTAGCTGTGTGACCTGTTCCAGGTCACTTAGCCTGCCTGAGCCATGGTCTCCTTGTGTCTAAAACGTGGGCCAAAGGAGGAATATTTAGAAATGAAGGCCACTAGGACCTCACATAGTGCCTAGTGTACAAGAGAAGGGCAAACATGGGAACCGGGATTAGTAACAAACGACAGCACCTGGGTGTGACAGACAGGAAAAGAACACGCGTGACAGAAAACGCCCTGTCGGTACAGCACCACACTGCGCCAACATTATGCTAATGATAATAGTGTTCACCGATTGAGTTTTCTGTGCACTAGACACAGGGTTAAACTTTTTATCAGTGTTTTATTTCACTAGTACCACAGCTTCGTGATCTGCATATCTTTTATATTCCTCGATTTTCAGATAAGGACACAGAAGTTCAGAGACAGTAAATACTGAAACCTTAAGTCACTTAATTAGTAGGGTCTGCAGCTGGGATTTGAACCCAAGTCTCTCTGGCTCCCAAGAGCCAGGTCTCAGCATCAGTCTCCGCCCTGTCCTGACGGAACCTGTGCCTTTTCCTTTGGCCTGGAGCTGGTGAGGGGTCCATGAGCTGACCCAAGCTCAGCCCTGTAGCTCACCATGACCTCAGCGCTTGCCTCACCCCTCCATGCTCGGGGCCCGGATGTGGACCAGGCCGGTCTGTTTGTGCTTGCCAGGTGTGGGATGATCTACATGGAGCCCCACCAGCTGGGCTGGAAGCCGCTGAAGGATTCATACATGGACACCCTGCCCTCCAGCCTCACTGAGGAGCACAGGGAATTGGTGAGAGCCCCTCCCCCTCCCTTCCCCTCCCTCCCTGGCTCCTACGCCTCATCTCGTAGGACTTCTAGGCGCATCTTCACCTTCGTATTCCCAGAGGCAAGAGGGGCAGGGAATTCCCTGCCCGGCCCCAGTTACCTTGCTTCCTGGCTGCCCACCATTTTCCCAACTTCTCCACATGGTGGGCATGGGCTGGTGAGGTCAATTCTTCCTTTGTCTTTTAGCTGCTTCTTCACTCCTTGTCCCCCCCATGGAGAACTCTGGTGCTTGAGAAACGTTCTGTATGGCGGCAGGAAAGTCCCCCTCTCCCCATCGCCCCCTAGCAAAGGGCCAGGTGAGGGAGAGCTGTGCCCTTCTCTGCACGGCCATGCCCCGCCCCGCCCCGGGACCTGGACCCAGCCAGAAACGCCTGTATTGCAGCTACGAAGCGTGTTCACTCCCTTCTTCCCTTCCCAGGAGAAGCGCGGCCATCCGGGTTAGCTGGGCACCTGTGTACACGCTCAGACCAGGGACGCAGGCAGGGGACCAGCGCTGCGCGCCTCTCCCCTGTCCCTGCCCTAAGGGGGAAGCCCCAGGAAGCTTTCCCGCCGAGGAGGCCGAGAAGGGGCTAGGTTCGGTCCTCTTTCCCCTGTGGAAATAGCTCCGGGACACCGGGGATGCGGCAGGCTGGCCCCGCCCCATCTCGTGTACAGACACGTGCACGGTATTGGCCCGCGCAGGTGCGCAGACACGTGTCCACATGCACATTCAGAGAACAGCCCCCAAGCATGGGGACAGCTGCCCAGTCCCCACACGGGGAGCCTGCGGAGCACCCTAGTGTGTCCCCCAGGTCCTCAGCACCAAGACTAACGCCCTCTCGGCCTCTGAGACTGATCTGGCCCGCCCCCACCGCCAGCCTCATCACCTACCTCACCCTCCGCCTGGTTTCCATTCCCAGAAACCTCCCCTCACACCCTCCACCCCCCCACCCCCCACCTCCGAGTCGCCACCTCGAGGCTTTTACACTTTTCTTCTCTCTTCCTGGAGCACTTGCCCCCTGTCATCGCATGAGGGCTGATTCACCTTCGTCATTCAGGGCCCAGCACAAAGGCCCCCTCCTTTAAGAAGCCCTCCGAGACCAGCCTGGTAGACCTTCCTGTTATTCCCCAGTGTAACGCCTTCTATTCATTTCCTTGTTTGTTTAGTTATTTATAGCCTGTCTCCCCTGCCCCTTAGTACGCTCCACAGGGCAGGGACCTTGCCCGTCCTGTCCACCTTTCATCCCCAGCAATGACAACACTGCAGATGCTCAATGAGTGTTTGTTGATTGAATGCCACATATCCACGAATACGCGTATGTTCATGTGTACGTGTAAACGCATCTGCGCATTCATGCATGCATGTATGCCCACAGACATATGCGCCTACAAGGACTGATTTAGTGATGGCCTGCCTGCTTCCAAAAAAATGACTCAAGATCATTTACAGTGACAGTCACAAATAAACTATAACCAAAGAAACAAAAACAAATAAGAGAAAGTAAGCCAAGTAATTTTTTTAAGTAAGTGGGGTAAGGAACAGAGTCAAGAGAAAGAATTATTATATCCCAAAGTAGATATGTACAGATAAACACACACATACATACTGAAAATGAATCTCGAATTTAGCTCTGCACTTCCTATGGCCCCTTAGGAGTCCTGCCTTACAAATGCCAGTCTTTTGTAAAGTGATTGTTTAAAATTTCTAGAATATGACTCAAAAAACTAGTAACACTTTATTTTATTTTTATTTATTATTTGTTTTTAGAATGCCTAACATTTTATGGAAACAAAGTCTGATACTATGTTTGAGTATCTGACTTCATTCCCAAAACTATTTCGTGCGTCCTGTAGCTGACTCGCAGTGGCCCCCAGCCTCTGCGAGTGTCCTGCCCTGGGCAGTGGAATGAGAGGGGTGGGGCTGGCCTGTGGGTCGCACAGTTCACAGAATAGGAAGCTGGGGGCAGGAGCCTTACCAGCATCTCCAGCCTCCCCGAGGTACACCAAACTCTTGCTCTTAAACTCATTTTTTGGTAACAGCGTCCCATTTCACTTTCTACTTTCAGGTCAGTGACATGTTCATGTGGCTTGTCCAGCCTAGCTTGGAATTTATTCGCCTTCAGTGTAAATTTGTGGTCCAAACGTCTCCCACCCACCTTGCCTTCTCGATGATGAGACTGTACTCCTGTCTGCTTGGTAAGTGCTGCGAACAATGCTTAAGGCAGATGCGCCTTGGCTGCCAATTCCGCTCCTACCCTTTTCATACCCCCACACCCCACCCCAGGAGTTATAGCGAGAGTGGCATTTCGGCCTACCTAGAACAAGCGAGTCTTTGGGGAGTGTAGACAAAGCTTGGTGGAAAGAGTCCACGTATTTTGGCTTTAGCCTTGATCTTGGATTGATGCCTGGGTGTTCTTGTTCAAATTTCTCAGTCTTAGGTGCTTCATCCACACAAAGGGAGCTATAATTCCTCTCTGTCTTTATCTAAGAAGGATAGCCTGGAGGGAGATAAATCTAGATGATGCATGTGAATGTATCTCAGAAAAAAAAAAATGATTCTGAAAAAAATAAGATAGGAAGTGAAGAAAACTTACAATCACAAAAATCTGAATTTGCAAAGCACATAGATACACTGTAAGAGAACTGATCACATTAGTCTACAAAACTATAGAACCATTCGTTTAAATGTCACAGAGAAGGTGCCTACAGCTATCTCACATAAATCAAATTTCACTGAACTCTATTGGAAATGACAAAATACGTGTCCGTGGGAGAACTTTTATTGGATGCCATTTCTTTCTCATGATTGCACAGAACTCAGACTCAAGATGAGTCTTACACCTTCTGCTACACAAACAGACTTTCACGGCCTGTTTCTCCCAAAGGCATTATAGGTGTACATCAGAAATGTAACATGGTGAACGGCTGAGTGGAGGCTTTCTTTGGCCAAGTATTATGTGATTTTCTAAAATTAAAATTAAGGCAATTTTTTTAAAGCACACCAGTTGCATACGATGTCATACATTTGCAATGTTATTAATAAATTTTGCATATTTTTCCCCAGGCTGTTTCCTGTTCTTATATAGTATCTCCTCCAGCATGAGAAATGGACTCGTTTTTCCCCGGCACCATGTGACCTAATCTCTCGCCTCTCTGAGTCCTCTCAGGGCTGCTCAAATACAGGCAGCTCCCAGGAGCTGGGTCTGAACGTACGCGTCCCTCGTTTCAGAGCTCTGACTTTTTACTCTGTCAGTGTTAAAATGCAAGAACGGTAGCTGTGATTGACAAGGCCCCGAGATAAGGAACACTAATGACATTTCTTAGCCTTTTATTTCGAAATAATTTTAGACTTACCAAAAACTGCTAAATGAGTGGAGAGTCACATATCCCTTCACCTTGCTTTTTCAGCGTTGACATCTTACGTGACTAAGATACAATGACAAGAGCGAGGAAGTGAACCTTGGCACTGTCTGTTAACTACGACATAAGACTTCATTTGAATTTTACCAGTTTTTCCACAAATGTTCTTTTCCTGTTTCGGAATCCGGTTCGGGATGCTACATTACGTTTCATTGTCATACCTCCTTGGCTTCTTCCAGTCTGTGACAGTTCCTCCATCTTTTCTTATCTTTCCTGACCTTTCCGCTTGATAAATACTGGCCAGTGATTTTACGGATGGCTGTCAATTTGCTCGCCTCGCGTTTTCTCATAACGAGTTTGAGGTTATGCATTTTTAGTACAGATCCCATGGAGGCGATGCTGTATCTTCACAGTGCAGCCTCAGGCGTATCTGATGCTCATATATAGCTTATCGGTGAAGGCTCTGGTCAAAGTTAACTTTGGTGACAGTCACGCTTCTTTATCGTAAAGTCGCTATTCTTTGTAAGTAATAAGTATCTTGGGGGAGATAACTTGAAACTCTGCAAATATTTTCTTTCTCTTCAAACTTTCACCCGCTGATTTTACCATCTGTCGGTGGGTCTGTCTACGTAGCTAGAGTCGTCAAATTGATAAAGACGGAAAGTAGAAGGGTGGCTGCCAGACACTGGGGGAGAGAGGGATGGGGAGTGATTGTTTGATGGACACAGAGTTTCAGTTTTGCCATCGAACTCTACGCTTAAGAATGATTAAGATGGTAAATTTTAAATTACGCATTTCTTAACAAAATAGGAAAAAAAAAAGTATGTGGATAAAGGATGGAGCAGGTGATGGCCACCCAGCCAACTGCAGTCCCCTCCCCAAGTCCCTCACCGACCAAACCACCCAGTCCACGTGGTTTACATCTGTTACACTCTGCAGCTTCTCCTGAGGTCTCCTTTCTTTGCTTTTAGATGAAATAAGGGAAATAAAAGAAGATGAAAGCGAATCCCTCGAAGGCCTGACAAGCCAGCAGATCTTCCTCTGGCTGCAAGGGTTGTTCCTCTTTGCCTTGGTGTGGACGGTGGCCAGCACCATCAACAGCGATGGCAGAAAAAAATTCGATCTGTTTTTCCGTAACCTGATCATGGGCCTGGATGACAATAACCCAAGGCCCAAAAGCGTCAGACTCACCAAAAACAACACCTTCCCAGAGAGAGGTAATTTACTGCCCGTTGTTGTTGTTGTTGCTGTTGTTTTTGTCTTACTGTCATTGTTTGGAGCCTAGTTACAAACCCAACCTTACTGGGTGGACCCAGTTAGGCCTTCACGAAAGCCAGGGAGGATTTTGTGGCTTGTCTGCGGGGTTCACTACTTCAGAGCTGCCCATGTATGTAGAGATGGGTGGCCCCGGAGTCAGTGTCTTATGAGATAGTTTAAATACTTTTTTAATGTAGAAAAAGTTGATAGAACTTTTTTTTTTTAATGCAAAATCACCCATAATCCCATCACTCCAATAGGACCCAGGAAACAGAATGAGAAATATAGTCACTTTTGTTTTTCTAACTCCCTTCTAGTCCTGTTCTGTGTTTACACACAGTGTCACATTGTGGTGACTATGGTATTAATACTTCTTTTAAGTTTTGTCATTGTAATCTAATATATTAAAATGTTTGTGATATTGCTAAAAACATTATCTTCAAAATGATTAATGATCTATTAATATTCTCATATGTGTGACATCATTTACTAAACGATTTAAAGATATTTTCTTTTATGTAGCTTTTACTGTTTTTTTTTTGTTGTTGTTGTTGTTGTTTTTTAGCACCCAAATAATACATTACATAAAATTTAGAAAATACAGAGACGGGAATAGAAAACAAAAATCAATGGTAATCCCACTATACAGAAATAATCTCTCTTTATTTATTTATTTATTTTTTTAATATTTCTGTAACAAAAGGGATCATACTATAAATATTTCCAAATAGTTTTACTTTTTGCAATTATAAAAAAAATATATAAAGGGCCACGAGGGAACTTCTTGGGGTGATGGTAATGTATATATCGAGTGGGATTTGGGTTACGCAGATATGTGCATGTGTCAAAATTCAGTGAATGCACACACTTCTATGTGCATTTCATTCTATGTAAATTTTGTATCATAAAACATGTAAACAAATATCGAACATTTAATGATATAAATGCTGAAGTATTTATGGGGTCACGTATAGATGTATACGATTTACTTTGAAATGTGTCAAAAAATAAGATGGCTTAATTGATGGATAGAGGGATGAATAGGTATGTGATAAAACAAGTAAGAAGCTAATGGTAAGATCTAGCAGATGGGAATACAAATTCTCACTGTATAGTGTTTCTTTGTGTTTGAAACTTTACATAACCATGCGAAATGAAGGAGGAAGTTGCGGCCGACGCCACCTGCTCACACACTTTCCCCAGCACCTCTGGCACATCTCGTGTGATAAGTGGTCATCTGTCAGAGGAAAGGCATGGAGGCCCTGGACCAGTCCATTAGTTAGATAGTAGTACATTCATTCATTTTTACCCATTTTTGAGGGGAGAGGGGAAGATTTTGTTTTTGTTCCTATTTTTTGTTGTGGTAAAAATACATATCATAAAATCTGCCATTTTAGCCATTTTTAAATGTGCAATTCAGTGGTATTAAATACACCGACATTGCCGGGCAAGTATCACCACCATCCGCCTCCAGAACTTTCTTCGTCTTCCCAGACTGAAAGGCCACACGTCTTCAGCACTAGCTCTCCATTTCGCTCTTCCCTAGCCCCTGGCAGCAACCATTCAACTTTCTGTCCCTCAGTTTGAGTCCTCTAGGAACCTCAGAAAGTCCACTCACATAGTGTTGGACCTTTTCTGCCTGGCTTATTGCACTCAGCTTAATGCATTCAAAGTTTGTCCGTGCTCTAGCACGTGTCAGAATTCCCTTCCTTTTTCAGCCTGACTAATGTTCCATCGTGTGTGTAGACTACATTTTGCTTATCCGTTCATCCGCTGATGAACACTTGGGTTGCTTCCACCTTTCAGCTATTGTGAATAATGCTGCTATGAACGTGGCTGTACAAATATCTGTTTGAGGATCATGCTTTCAGTTCTTTTGGGTATAAGCCCACAGGTGGAATTCCTAGATCATATGGGAATTCTGTGTTTAACTTTTTAAGGAACTGCCCTAACGTTTTCCGTTACTGATCGCACCATTGTACAGTCCCACGAACAATACACACACATTCCAGTTTCTCCACATCCACAGGATTTGATTTGTTTTGTTTTTAATAATAGCCATCCTGATGAATGTGAAATTTGTCTTTAATTTTTTAAGAAAAAATGTGAATTAATGATATAATAAACAACGTAATTTTTTAAAAAGACGACTATTATTCACATTTCGATGAACACCCTTTTAGACGTTTCCCTATGCATATATGTACCTATAGATTTATTTTTACTAACATGGGATCATTCATATTTCTAGTTTTTGCTCTCATTAACAATGTTTTGATGAATGACATTCCAATGGCTACGTATTTGCTTCATACATGATTTTTCCTTAAGATAATTTCCTAGAAATAGGATTGCTGAGTCAAGGGTCGATAAAATTTTAAAGCTTTGGTTGCTAGATTTCCCTTGTACCCTCGCCAACACTATTTTTATTTTGTTGAGATCTTGGACAATTTGAAATGTGAAAATGGTATCTCGTTTTAACTTCTTTCTCTTTAAAAAAAAAAACCTGACAGATTTAATTTTAGAGCCATTTTAGGTTTACAGAAAAATAGCAGAAAGAGCAGAGTTCCCATATGCTCCCTCCCTAAACAACTCCCCCCACAGTTCCCCGTACTATTAACGTCTATGATTAGTGTGGTTCATTTGTACAGTTGATGAACCGATATATATAAATTATTATTAGCTAAAATTCATAGTTCACGAGGTTTACTCTTTGTGTTGTACAGTTCTATGGGTTTTGACAAACGCACAGTATCATGTATTCACCATTGCAATATCACACAAGATAGTTTCACATTGCCCTACAAATCCCCTAGTTCCGCCTGTTGGTGCCTCCCTCCCCCTGAACTGGCAACTACTGATCATATTACCGCCCCTATTGGTTTGCCTTTTCCAGGGTGTCATATATTAGGAACCATACAGTGCATAGGCTTTTCACATTGGCTTCTTTCACTTACTTGGTAAGGTCCCCTTGTGTCTTTTTGTGCCTTGATAGCTCATTTCTTTTCATCGCTGAATAATATTCCATTGTGTGGATATTTATCAGTTCACCTATCAAAGGACATTTTGGCTTATTATAATTTTTGGAAGTATGACTAAAGCAGCTATAAACATTTGTGTGATGAAGGATTTTGTGTAGACATAAGTTTTAAATTCATTTGGCAAATACCTAGGAACACGATTAGATGGTGAGTCTGTTTGTTTAGCTTCAAAAGAAACTGCCAAACTACCTTTTGCAAAGTGGCTGCACCATTTTGCGTTCCCACCAGTAATGAATGAGAGTGCCTGTTTCTCTCCATCCTTGTCAGCATTTGTTGTTGTCAGTGTCCTGGATTTTAGCCATCCTAATAGGTATGTAGTAGTAACTCGTTTTAATTTACAATTCCTAATGACATATGATGTTGAACATCTTTTTGTATTCTTATTTGCCACATGCGTATCTCCTTTGGTGAGGTCTCTGTTGAGATCTTTTACCCATCTCTTAATCGGGTTGTTTCTTTTTCCCGTTGTTGAGTTTTAAGAGTTCTTTGTATATCTTGGTTATAAGTCCTTTGCCAGAAGTATGTTCTGCAGATATTTTCTCCCAGACTGTGGCTTATCTTTTCACTCTTTTAACAGTGTCTTTTGCAGAGCAGAAGTTTTTCATTTTAATTAAGTGAAACTTATCAGTTTTTTCTTTCATGGATTGTGCTTTCTGTATTGTATCTAAAAAGTCATCATCGAATCCAGTGCCACCTAGATTTTTTCCTATGCTGTCTTCTAGAAGTTTTGTAGTTTTGTGTTTTATATGTAGAGCTATCATCCATTTTGAATTAATTTTTTGTGAGAGGTATAAGATCCATGTCCAGATTTTTATTTTCTGTAGATGTCTATTTGTTCCAGGATCAGCTGTTGAAAAGACTGTTTTTTCTCCATCGAATTGACTTTGCACCTTTGTCAAATATCACTTAACTGTATTTGTGTGAGCTTATTTCTAGTTGTTTCCGTTGGTCTATTTGCCTATTCTTTTACCAGACCATACTGTATTGATTACTGTAGCTTCACACTAAGTCTTGAAGTTGGGTAATGTCAGTCCTCCAACTTTGTTTTTTTTTTTTCTTCAATATTCTGTTGGTTATTCTGGATATTTGGGCTATTCTGGATATTTTACCACTCCATGTAAACTTTAGAAACACTTTGTTGATATCCACAAAATAACTTGCTGGGATTTTCATTGGGATTGTGCTGAATCTATAGATCAAATTGAAAAGAACAGACATCTTAACAATTTGAGTTATGTCTAACATGGATTTTATCTCCATTTATTTAGATCTTCTTTGACTTTCTTCATTGGCATTTTATAGTTTTCCTCATATAGCTCTTACACATTTTTTACTAGATTTATACCTAAGTATTTCACTTTTTTTATACTAATGTAAATGGTGTTGTTTTTCATTTCAAATTCCAATTTTTCATTTCTGGTATATAGGAAAGCAATTGACTTTTGTATATTAACTTTGCATCCTACCACCTTGCTATAATCACTGTAAGTTCCAAGAGTTTTTTGTTGTTGTTGTTGTTGATTTTGGGGGGATTTCTTGACTAGATAATCACGTTATTGGCAAACAAATGCCCTTTTATTTCTTCCTTCGCAATCTTTTATTTATTTTTCTTGTCTTATTGCATTAGCCAGGACTTCCTCTATGATGTTGACTAGGAGTGATGAGAGAGCATCCTTATATTAGGGAGAAAGCATCCTTATATTAGGGAGAAAGCATCCTTATATTAGGAAGAAAGCATCCTTATATTAGGAAGAAAGCATCCTTATATTAGGGAGAAAGCATCCTTATATTAGGGAGAAAGCATCCTTATATTAGGAAGAAAGCATCCTTATATTAGGGAGAAAGCATCTAGTTCCTGAACCTAAGCATTATATTAGCTGTAGATGTTTTGTTAATAATCTTTATCAAGTCAAGGATGT